GGAGATTGAACCCAGAGCCTCACACATGGTAGGCCGGCACTGTATCACTGAGCTATATTTCCAGCCCACTCCTTTTTTTTTAATAGAAAGAAACCACACAAGGGCTGGGGTTGTGGCTCAGCGGTACAGCAATTTCCTTTCATGAGCGAGACCCTGGGTTCCATCCTCAGCATCACATAAAAATAAATAAGTGAAATAAAGGTATTGTGTCCAACTACAACTAAAAAATAAATATTAAAAAAAGAAACCACACAAATCCTGGGAATAAGAGTTGGCCTTTTAGATCTGTGAGTGGTGCCATATCAGAACCTGGATAGGAAAAGAAAATAAAAGCACTGAATTGAGAAGAACAGGTAATTATGGTGGTAGATAACTGGAGTTAGTTTTTTCTTCCCTTCATGCAGGCAAGTTTAGTTACATAGATATGGATAGAGAAATTTAGATAAGAGCAAAACATAGTGGTCTGAACTATAATTTTTGTCCAGGTCACTCTTAGAAAACAGTCTACTCTGTTGCTTAGTCAGAACTCACACCCTCAAACAGCCACAAATGCTGCCCAGGGGCCCCAGGAGGATGGGAGGCCTTATTAGTGACACCTGCTATTCTGCTACTTGGTGGTCTCAGCCTCACAGCCAGCTCCAAGTCTGTTTCCATGGGCAAGAAACAGTCCACTATCTCCTAGGTCTTTGAGGTATAAGTACATATACTTGGTTTCTAGAGGACACTGCTGAGGTGATGTAGGAGAGGAGCCTTTACCTCATAGTGTGTCTGTTAAAATAATGTGACCTGGTTGTCATCTACACTGATTGAGAGTAATGATGCTGGGCCATCAGATGTAAATTAGGATGTCTTATTTACTTCCTTCTAGATGTCAGAATCTTCTCTTTAGTTGCTTGGCAGGTTAAAGCAGTCAAGAGCCAGCCTGGCACTGAAGAGTTGCTGAGGAGACAGAGTCTGTACTTAAGTACAATGTCTACATCTGTTCATGAATAGTGGCACATGGAGATTCACAGAACTAGTGCAGGCTGGAGCTTGGAATGCACTGTCCCTCCAGCCTCTGCCATTTGTCAAGAAGAGGAACTGGCTTCTGTGGCAGTAGAATGTTTTTTCCTTCAGTCTGAGCAAAAATTATTCAATTAGCAAGTACTAATTCAGTACTTACTGTCTTGGTGTGAACTGATCCATATAACCAATAAGTCATAGACATATGTTATAGACTATAAGAATAAGGTAAGATAATTTAGATAAGCAACAATAAGACATCAGTTCATGGAAAAGTTCATCAGGAGTAAGCCTAAGTAATAATAATAAAATCATGTAACTGTAAGACATAGGATTTAAGCCACAGGAAAAAAGATGGTATGGTGAAAGGTGTTAAGTCAATATGCCAGTATAGTTATAGATAAATATAGGCTGATAGGTTAATATAGATATAGACAAGGTTAAATCAATATAGTTGTGAACAATTGTATTAGCTAAAGTAGACATAAGGCTTTTAGATATCAGTAGTAAAATGATGAGTAAATGAGATAACTGCAAGCATCAAATAAGTTACTAGTACTGGGATAGCAGGAATAGAGTCACTGTGGCTATACAAACAAAAAGTATAGCCATAGGGTCTCCATCTTAGCTGTTCTAGACTCTATTCTAGTTTTCTGTTACTGCTCCTGTGAAGAGGGAACTAAGAAAGCTGTCTTTTAAAAAATTGTTTTTCTTTACTTTATACCCCACAGAATGTACCCAACTCAGGATATGATGG